AAATCGTTCAATTTTATCGCTCTTGATCAAATAGGTTTCAAGCGAAGGAATTTCTTTCCATGATGATTGGCCTTACGCGATTCATCTTCTGGGTTACTTTTACATCAACGATTGGTGAGTTAAATCCTCTTCTTTTATGAGTTTCTTTTTGAATTCGTGCAGATTTTTGCAAAATTGTTCTTACTGGTTCGATTGAAAATAGAGATTCTTGTAAAAAGATTACAATTTGCATCCACTGTGTAGAGAAATTACAAATTTATAAATTCCCTTTTAATGGTATGTGTCCCTTAGATGGTGAATGTATTATATTGGAAGTAGAGAATTATAATTTTTCTGTTCTTGATTAGAGGATATGTATGTTTGGGGGTTAAAAGTGAGTCTTGATTTTTGTTGTGCTTGTTTGGCTAACTATGGAGTGAAAAATTCTGCAGCGATAGCGCCCGTTTCCTCTGGAAGACGATTCCTGCAGCTATTAAGGAGAGCAAGCCTGAAGTTGTTGCAGCTTGGAGGATTGGTCAGAAGCTGTGGACACGTGACTATCCAGGTGTATATGGAGCTATTCGGGGTTACGACTGGAGCCAAGAAGCCAAAGATATGGTCGCTGCTTTCTCAGGTAATTTTTCTGTGTTAAAGAAACTATTTAGCTAGTGTTGAATTGTTTCTTGTGCTAAGCTTGCTGACAGACTATGTAGCTTTTTACTATATAAGCATGTAAAGTGACCTTCTTTTTCCTCTCTGGGTTTGGAGCTTCGATTTGCATATTGAGAGACTACCTAGCTGTGTAATCGTGTTATCTTGTGAGACCTTCCTTTAGGATTTGTGTCATGCACTTATATAGAACCAACTTGCAGTTCATTAGTTGGAACATGATGAAATAGAATAATATTCGATCAAAGTATCACTTTTTGATTAAGAAGTAGCTGGTTCTTTGATCGAACTAGCAGAGAGGTAGATTTGCACAGTAGGAACAAAAACAGGTAGCGGACTTTTCCAACTAAATGCTAAATCATTGAACAGATCCTCGTTTTAAGCAGCACTGCTTTCGTAGCATTCGAAGACATCCATTGTTCAATATCTGACCCTGAATTGCCTCTTCCCATTGTTTAACTTCAGAGCAGCTAACACTATTTCTGTGATGGTTTTGTTGCAGATCTTTACACAAAAAGGATGTTTCAGCTTTTGTTGTCTGCATACTCCACAATTACCATCCATGATCTAGCTCTTTTCCTAGGGATGACGGAAGATGCTGCCACAACTTGTAAGCTTCTTTCTGCAATTTTCTATGCTTTGAAAGATTAACTACCTCCTCCCACATCAAGTCTTACATTTCTACTGAATTCATTCTTATACCGAAACTAATCACCAAAAATTATCCGGGGGCAGTAGCTCAAAAAGAGTTTATCCAGTAATGTTGTAGCATAGTGTTTTGTAGGCATGGATCTAAATGTCAACCATTAATGATGTTGCGGTATTAGAATTAACAGTATAACGTAATCGATAATTGTTTTTTGTGCTGTATATACACAGATGTTGTAGAGAATGGATGGACAGTGGATGCAACTTCTCAAATGGTGACTGTTAAGAAGCAAGCTGTTAAAAGAGAGCAAAAGCTGGATTCATCAAAGCTCCAACGTTTGACAGAGTATGTGTTCCACCTTGAACATTAAATCGAAGACCAATCTCGTATCATAGGGGTTTCAGATAGTGAAAACTAAAAGACCAAACAAATCTTGTTTCGAGAAGACGGCTCTAGTTTCAGTATTTTTTGGAGATTTTTCAAGTTGTGTAATTTTACAACATGTCTATCTTGACCCCTAGTACTGATATGATGAGCTGATTCTTTGGTATTAAAGTTAATCTTCCGAATACTAATTATAGATCAAACTTAAAATTCACAATCGTACATCTGTGATTACACCATGGTGGTTTAAGGTGTGGAGGATGTG